AATCCGTGAATCCGTGAATGTCTGTGTCAGGCATAATAATGCTACATTCAAAACAAATGCACGACTGATGGGATTTGTGGGGACTACGGGTTGTGCAAAAACAGAGCGATTACAAAAATAGTAGGTTTTATCCACAGCAGAAGCGGTCGTGCCTAATCTCGGACGACCTAGCTTTGGTGGAGAAAAGAGGCAGAGAACCAGCGTGATTGTGGCTTATTCTTTGTTTTAGGAAACCTCAATCTAAAGCAAGATCAGACGGTTACAATTTGAAAATACTGGTCAGCAGCACAACAATAGGAACGCAAAACTGAACACCCAACACGGCATACTACTGTAAAGCTGTGAACCGCAAAAATAAGCACAAAAATGAAAAGAATGGTTCTAGTGGAGCAGCGTGTTTCAGCGATCAGGCCGGTTGATCTGAACTAAAATTGTGAACCACTGTCCAGCCTCCTGGGATTGTCGCGTTTATGACCACTCTCGCGAAAATTCGTGGCTGCGGGTTGTGATGGGGAGCAATGCAGGATGCGGATGTATGTCAGCCTTACTTTCAACGTCACGGTGTACGCATTAGCTGTTTGGACTCACTGATGTCGATGTTGCAGCGGAGCCGGTGTAGTTTTCCTGGGAGACCGCTTTAGTGCTAACGCATAGGACGGAGCGCTAACTGTAAACAAAATAATTTACCTTATGGGGGCATACAATGAAGGTCCACCGAGGTGCTCAGACTAAAGAAAGGTTGGGTAGACTCAAACGAACTCGGTCCAAGGTCGGCTAGGACAAGGCAAATTTGAGGCGAAGGAGTTGAGGTTAGATGAATATATAGGTGAGAGGGCACACCCAATAGTAGGGGGTGAACAGGTGCGGGTGTTCTATAGGACTGGCTATGGCAGTGCGGTGCCATAACTGCACCCAAATACTTCGGCTTTCTAACAGCGCTGTAATGGATGACATGGCTGAGGCCATCTGGCTAGAAGTGTGAAATTCCGTAGATTGTTCCTCTATTTGCGGACGCTGCTGAGGTTACAATTGGCTGAAACTATTTGGCCTTCTCGAGTCAATCACTATCATCTGATTGCCCCGGGACAAACGGTAGCAGCCGACC